CATGCCTTGTTTAGAGAGAGACTTAATGTTCTAAGGCAAACAGAAACTTTTATTCTCGACCATGCGAGACACGCCTATATATAGGCATGATTGGGTAAGTGCATACTTGTATAGAACGTTGATCACAAGTGGATCAGATACTAACGATTAGAAAAGGATAACGAAGAGATACCAAATAGTTGACTGAATCGAAATGATGTGGGATCGCTTGTAACTGTTCGCTCAGATATAAAACAGCTGGACGGTAAGATGGTGAAACATGCACTGAGTCATGTGAAACCTATACCCCACTCGTTCGCTTCGCTTATTGTTACAGAACATTCAGTTTGATCACATTCTGTACAAAAATAACCTGCTGATGGTTTTTCAAATTCGTGTTCAAGAGTGCAGGCACGTATTCCGGGTGGTAGCTTGTTCCAGACTCTGGCGTACTTGTTGAGGAAAAAGTTGGTACACCTGCTGATCGTGGACTTACATTCCGCCACTGAGTTCTGTTTGTTTCGTATGTTGTAAACTGCTGATTGCATTAATGACATGTTGAAGTTGGAAACATGCATATTTATGTGAAACGTGTTGAAGAATATAACTAGGTTATGCTTCATGTGTCGTAGCCAGAGCGTATGAAGCTTGAGCCAATCACATCGTTCAGAATATTCCAGTTTGAAGAGGCATCTAGAAGGCAATTTGTGAATGCTCTCTACACTTGTTCCAATGCAGTGTGGTCGCGCTTTGTTGAGCTGCCATACACCATTGAGCAATATTCCAACGTGGGTCGAACAATTGATTTCTAAGAATGAAGTATTGATTCATGTACACAAAAAGTCCTGAATAACAATCCAATTTTGCGTCCTGCTCTCACTGTGGCATAACCCACTTCTTCACGGAAGTCAAATGAGCATGAATATCGCAATACCAGATCTGTAACCGTAGGGCAGATATCGAGTGGTTTGCCATCACGAATCAATCAAATCGCACTTGTGGGACATTGCATAGTATTGGTCAATAGAGAAAGACATTTTCCACTTTGAGCACCAGGTTTCAAGCCAATGGAGCTCGTGTTGGATCATGTTAAGAGCATCAATAGGGGGCTTCCGGACAGAAATTGTGTACGATTTTATTGCCATCGACAAACAGGTATGGTGTACCGAAGTTTACTACGTCAAAGATGTTGTTAACATACGTCAAGAAGAGCAGCGGCCCAAGGATACCTCTTTGTATCACATCATTGATGACAGGTGTATGCACAGACTTGTAAGCTTGAATTCGTAGTACTTGCGTTCGATTTCCAAGGTATGATCTGAACCTAAAAAGCAGGGGTTCACCGATCCCGTAGGACATCAAGTTAGCTATCAGACTTACATGAGGCGCCCGATCAAAGGCCTTGTGCAGGTCGAGGTAAATCAGAGCAGCCGACATACTACGATCATGCGAGGGAGTTATAGTGTTTAGAAACTATAAGTGTTATGCAATGTAGGATCGATTGTTCAAGAAACCGTGTTGAAAGTTCTTTATTAGCTTCCTTGATGGTAAGCAATCAACAGTATTAGCTTTGAGATATCGCTCCAACAATTTTGATACGATAGATGTTGGGAGATAATTTTTAAGCTGGGAAAGTGAGCCTGATTTAGGTAGCGGCACGACTACAGCTTCTTTCCACTGAACTGGTACGGTGCCGGTGTTCATGGATGTGTTGAACATAGTCAACAAAAGTAGGGGGATGTCATCCCCATGCCCCATTTCGCAACTACGAAGTGGAATATTGTCTGGACTCCTGAAATAGGATAATTCTGTACATATGATAAGTTTGTGTATATTATGGTGCTCAAATCTGATACAATTGAACAGATCGACCGTGACCAGTGGCAAGGCGTACGGTATTCGCGTTGAAGAAGACGCAGAGATAATGGTTAAACATTGCTCTAATTTGAGAGGGTTTGTTAGGTTGCAGTTACCTGGTGTTACGAGTGTGATGGTGTCTTGAATACGTTGGGTAGTTCCGCGATTTAAGACTGTTCAGTTCACGGTTTTTGAATTGACTGTCAAGAGTGCTTTTTCATCAGCGATTTGTTTCGTGTGATAAGCCAGTTTCAGTGATGTGATCAAATTATGGTGTTGCATCAAGAATGAGAAGTTATTCGTTTTGTGGTATGCCGTAATTACATTTTTGAGTTTAGTAGCTGTTTTTCGTGAAAAAGCATTTTCGCGACCTCAGTGTCTATGTTTGATAGGAACTAGGGTTTCGAGATAGAGACTGATGTGGTTATATAGAGCTGCAGCTGCAGCTTGTAGCGTGAACACAGTTCGAAGCGCCAGCCGGCGGTCTCACAGAAGTCGTCCATACCTACACATCTGTTGCAGTCGATGTATACCATTCGGTATTCTTTTCCTCAACACGGTTGCGAAACCTGTCCCATCAAGTCGACAGATAAAGAAGAATAGTTACGTTCGACCATCGGTACCTTCGCAGTTGAGTTTATATCTGGTGGGGATACCGCGGGAGTACTGAACGTGTTCGGCGTCGTGCGGTTGGTGCAGAGGGAGTTAACCGCTCAGCGCTGTTACTTCATACACCAGGCTCCGATGACTGGACTACGTGTTGCGCATGCCAGCACAACGACTCCTGCGATATACTTTTTTCGCGTCGGGGGGTATGGGTGGAAGAAGAAAAGAGGTGGCCAAGCGATGACTTAGTCAGGAGGTATGAAGCCATTCATTTCGAACTGGGCGTCAGTTGGCGTCTCCCGACCTCCGAGCTGCGATTCGAGAAAGGATGGACATGTTTGGTTGGTTACGCTTGTTCACATGGCGAAGAGCTGGCCCCAATGGCGTTTGTGTTGTGAACTGGTCTATTCTCCTCATGCTTATCTTCCCCCTCCAACCAGAATCTCATACTCAATGCACAAGGTGAGACTCAGCAGTATATTATTTCGCTTTTTGGTTTTCATTTTGGACACTTTTATGTGTTGCGGTACAATAACTAAGGTGTTCCACTCTGTTAGCTAACCTATAATAGTAACGATGATGAATACTTCATTTCACCAATTCTGACGCGTGTCGCTCGCCTGTAGCTCTGCGCCTACATTAGTCCATTCGTATGGTTGGCGGCATCCGGTTTCGGATTTGCCTGTCACTGTGGCCAACCACAGGACGCCTGCGCCTACAGAGGGATCATGAGTGGCTTGCGCTGCACCACCCACAGCTCCAACCACACACCTCATATCCAGTGTAAACCCGAAGGAATAAGACCGGGAGGCATGTGGATGGGAGCCAGGTTTCATCAACAGAGCCGGCTCACACTCCTTCACAGGCAGACACAAGCACGCTGTAGTTGGGGAATCAAGCGTACACAAGGCGGTGGCTGGACCGCGGTCCGCTACACATTGAGTGCATGGAACCACTCTTTGATTCCAACGCCGCCACAAGAACAGTGCACCCCGTCCCCTCCAGCAACGAACAGCTGTCTCCTGGAGCCAGTATGGACGAGGTAGTGGCACAGGTAGGCACCTTGTCAACATGCACATCCAGCGCAGCCACACGGCGGATATCAATCAACAGCCAATCAATTGAAAGGACAAGATGAAAAAAAACAAATCCAATAATGCATACAGATATGGTGGCACAACTTTTCGTTAAATTAGCATATGAAGTAAGTTGGTTAGCAAGGAATCTGCGATAAGGTAAAAAGGTCCACAAGTTACTTAAAAATGCTACAAACGCAACAAAGTTACCCAAAATAACCGCAATTACCGTAAGCAACGTGGCCAGTTAATAGAAGATTATTCAGGTAAGCAGAACAAAACAAATAAAGTGGAATGAAATTTAGCCAGCTTAAGTGTAAGTTGGTTTAGCCCAACTGCGGTGAAGAAGCATCAAGAATGCAACATAAGCCTCAGCATGGGGCACCCATGGGTGACCATTCGTATGACTGGCCATCTATCAGCACAAATGTTTTTCTGTGTATAGTGTTCAATACTGGCGAAAGACAATGGATACAGCGCACCTGTACGTCTCAGTGTGAATAGACCTACGCTGTCCCGTGCGGTTCTGCTACCATCAATACTTCAGAATAAATTCAACCGTTCTCCATAATCTCTTCGTTCTGTTGCCCTAAACGATCACTTGTTTGCAATCAACGATCCTTTCATAAATCCGTAGAACGACAATAATCGTGCTACAACTCCATTAAGTTACAGCAGTCATGAGGAGAATGAGAGGTGAGTGAATTTTCGTAACGATTATGAGGGCCATTCACCCAGCATTCAGTGGCAAAATACTATATTGTCATAGCCGAAAAGATGTGTAATGAGAAACGTACATAACGCGAAACACATGTTAAATAAATCCATCAACAACAACGACGGCAAATCAGCCAGTTGAACAGATGCTCCGCTGCCATACTACCATAACTACCTACGGTACGAAGATTAAGCGAGAGAAGGGGAACTTATCAGAAAACCTAAATGCCCTAAGCAAACACTCAGGGTCAAGGCGCCTACGCCTTGCCAATAACACTATCACAAATAGATAGCTATCGTGCAAAGATAAGGCAATATCGGAGAGACAGCTTCATTGTGGATTTCACTGCCCCGCGTCATAATCAGTCATCATCCCGCAGAGAACTAAGTACCAAATGCACTTTAAACAGGGAGTCTGACCAGGAGACGAGTGTAGACACGGCACCGGTGTCGACTGCGAGCCATGTTCTGTAACGTCTCGAGCCAAGCACAAGGCAGGTCACTTGGACTCCAGCCTGGAAGGCTTAAGCGATTGATACAAAGATGTCAAAAAGGGGAGAAAGGTCTCAGCAGTACGCCGGTACGTAGTACCGATGTTTCGCTGCCGTGCAACCAGCACCAGTAGCACGTGGTCTACGGATACTGCGAGAGTCGCCCTGTCCCTCTGAGAAGACTCGAACTCATGTGCCTGTGGATTAGAAGGAACGCTTTTATTTCAATGGGCCGGCTTTCCAAGGATCAAAGTACAATATGGAGATAACTCACCGACAAGTATGAGTCTAAGTGATCTAGCCATGGATTGATAAGCGTAGTGTGCAAACAATTCAGTTCCAGACACCACTGAGCCAATGCCGGAAGCAACCATTCCACCGTGTTCACAAAGGTGGGTTTAGAGGAGACGAGAGTGAGTCCGATTGACTCTGAGGATTTGCCGGTTGAAGTATGTGATTCACTTGTGGAGGACGCTTGATCTAATGCGAGAAGACTGTTGAGGCGTTGGACAAGCCGGGGTAGTTTATTTTGATCCGACATAATACCAACTAGGCAGGCCAGAGACCGGATGCTAGCCGCGCGGACCAATTCATCACGTTCGTCATCCAAATTGGACTCCAAGATACTGAGCAATAAAGACGACTGAAGGTGTGCCTTTCAAACGAAAGAATGAGTGAAAGTAAGCAAAGTATATAACTGAGACTACTCTAAAGTTTAACAAAAAAAGATGTGTACGGAAGAATGAGCAGGAATTTAGTATAAAGGAAAACAGATCAGAATGGAATATTCCGGAGCATGTCTGGAAGGACTTGAGGAAAGGGCAACCTGAAGGCGTCGGTTGATGACAAGGACACAGACCATTTTGTTCCGTGATATTAGAAGCAGAACGGCGACAGCCAGGTGGTAGGACAGTTCACCGATGCACAGTAAATTTCGGTGGTCAATATGTGGCGTTAGTCACTCTTAGTAGCAGCGTTCTTCGGCCTAAATGGATTTAGCGCCGCCAAATAAGCAAAGAAGATGACATCGTCATGTGGAGCATTTTGACCAATCGCAATACATGCAATCAAGGTCAGGGGAGGTCGATCGATGCCCAAGTGACACGCGTCGCACTACCGTCACCGTCATCTGGTTTTGTAAACCGAGCAGCGGGCCATCATGCTCGACAATGATGGTCGAAAGGTTGAGCATGTAAAGATTTGGTTGCGCATGAGGACCTTGAATGATGCGCCGAGGTTGACCAGTGTTAGGTAAACATCTTCACATTCATACGAAAACTGAAAATCAACTTTGATTTAATCGCCGTTCTCCATAAAACTTGCGGAACGTTGCGATACCTACGTACTTAGCAGTTGCTACCAGTATGTTGAACATGCTCAAAATTGTGATAAAGGAATGCTGGCCGATAGAGTTGCTATCAAATCCTAGACTGTCTCGTTGTGCCAAGGCGTCTCATATCCTTGAGAGATACTGAGTATATCTTTCTGTATCAACAATGACGCCTGTTGAGATGCGATGCACATAGATTCATATATAAAACAGTCATCGCAACAAGAAGAGAGGCATTGCAACGGCGCATAGAACACACAGGTTAAACCGAGCAGACTGCGGTAAAGGAGGAGACTTCATGCAATCCAATAAGAAGGAGACGGCCAAGCAGTCGGGATAGAGATTTTATCGACAGATGGAAAAACTGACAAAATGCCTCCAGTTAATCGGGCAAACGAGCGATGTGAAATGCAGAAATAACAAAGAATCTACCATGGTCACATGCCGATGGGATATGTGCGGTTGTAGTTCTGTACGTTACTGAGGTGATCTATCGCACATCACAGCATTTATTGGCTTATCCATTATGTTGCCATCAAAATGGCCGATCGCAAATACACTCAAGTCCTGAGTGTTTGACCCACCCATCCCTAAACGCATAAATGTTAAAGCCAGGCTTTTGGTCTGGATATTCGCCAAAAAACAGTAGACCAGTGAATCACTGGCTGTGGTGCAAAGAGAATTGTCTTCCCATTCACGTAAAATGTGACAAGGACAAAGGCTAAGGGATGATTTGTAGTTTATTATTACTATGATCATTGCAGCGGAACAAGACTGAAACGTCGCAAAGTAATACTCATGTTCATGAAAAAACCTGTAATAAGCACGTAGTAATGATACCGAGATAAGTGCATTAACCTTAGCTCGGGGTCCCAGAGGTCCGCCAGGCATATTAGAAAAACCCCTGCTGCAGTATAACCAAGGAAAATCCGTGAATACAGTGAGACAATAGCTAATTCTCCGTTAGATTTTGGTCCGAACAATTGCTATTGGGTCTGCAGTTGCTGGATTAATATAGAAACCCAGTTACCGTGGTAACTCACTTTATGGTGGTTGGCGGACCAAATCTGACCGAATATGATAGGACATTATGGTGTCAATCGAAATACACTCATTATCATCAGACATAGAAGATTGAAAAACGCAGGAAGTACGTCAATGTGCAGCAATAGGGAAGGAAGAGGAAGAAAAATAATTCGGGAACATGTTATGATATTGGCGGGTGCAGAGATTGGTTGCCTGCATCCCTGTACGGATTCGCCTGTCAGTGTGGCCTCCACGGGGACAGCCACAGGACGCCTGCGCCTACAGAGGGACCATATGTGGCTTGCGCTGTACCACTGACAGCTCCGTCCACACACCCGTATCCAGTGTAAACCCAAAGGGAAGCAGTTGGAGGGAACCACGTTTCTTCTACGGAGCTGGTCCACACACTTCTTCAACATGCACAGCAGTATTCATGTCTATTTGGGGAATCGTGCGTACCCGGCGTACATAAGGTGGTGGCTGGGCCGTAGCCCGTTCCACAATAATGTATGGAACCACATTGAACCTAGCAACGACACGAAGATGCTGTGCCTCGTGCCCCCAGCAACGATTCACCGACTCCTGGAGGTTGAGGGTAATGGACAGGTAGGCACCATAACTTTCACAACAAGAACAGCCAGGTATTGCACATCACACCGTAGGTTTCATGTGTCAAGCGTACGTCCGAACAAAAGCCAGTCGAGTTTAGTCCGGCTGAGACGACAAACACATCATATGCTCTATCAACTTTGGTAGGATGAAGTAATCTGCAAAACAATTGCAAGGAGCACAATCTAAGTAGAAAAAGAGATAGAGGCAGCCTCGCTTAGCCTAGTAAGCAATACCATAGAACTTACCTAGTGACGTGGATCACAGGCGAATAATAATAATAATAATAATAATAATATAATAATAATAATAATAAAGTGCCATAGCTCACCGTCTCAGTAAGTCACTGACTAGAATCAACTTGAAAAGATAACAAAGGTAACATAGGTCACAGAGAAGAAAAGTGTAATGGGTAACGTGCGGAGTAGTCGTGAAACACAACCGAACTAGATAAGTCCAATAAGGTAAGTTAGATGTGGGTTTTACGTCTTCGACAGGCGTAATATAGATAATGTACGGCATCAAGTGCGTCGTCAATCACTCTACAGTGAGATTGTATTCAATCGAATTGGGCAATCGATAAAATACCAATGACGGAGAATGAGCAAGCAACTTGGGAAAGTTTTCAAGGAAATGGTGCACTTAACTGATGCAAACAACATCAGTGATTTTCATAAGCTCAAATAAGTTAAAGTCGGTGGATGAAGAACGGGAAATACTGCTATGCTCACTGTCACGGTTAACACATGAACCGCAACATGAAGCATCAACATCATAATGGTAATCAGCAGTCAGTTACTTGCCGGAATTGTTCACTTTACACAGATGTATCGGAGCGATTTTTCGTGAAGTGCATGATCTAACGTGGACACTTGAAACTGCAGTCCAAAGCGTTGTGGGGCACTTGAACTCCAGAGGTAATTGTTAATTACTACACACAATTCTTCACTCAAATGCAAGAACGAATGCTGTATACTGTAAGCAGCAAGCGTTTGGAAGCTAATGCGGTCCAAATGGAATCAAAACTACAAAACAGGTGTTGGATAATCGGTACACAACAATCAGCGCTTCTAGCAGCGCAGCTCTGAATCAGCAACTACAAATCACGAAATAGCCACCAGCCGTGAGTACACTTCCCACTCATTTGTACGCTACATGATATACACTGTGTATAAAAGGGAACAATCGAACGGACAAGAGAACATGATGCAAATTGGGAAAAAGTGAGTTACCGGGGTTTGCGGAGCGATAACGCCACAGGCGGACACGAGGAGCGATCGCTGAGCGGTTGACGGAGGTGGGTGCTCGTTTAGGTGTGACCAAAGCTGGGGAATGAGCTCACTTTCTAGACGAGTTGGTCCTGCACCAGAACAGAATGGAAAAGACAGATTGAAAAGGTCAGTGAGTTGGAATGTGAGTGTCAGATGCGCAAGTCTTGAGCAGAAACAAGCTGCGGTTGCCGGGACGTAAGGAAACGGAACATGTAACAGAATAAGGCAAGTGATAGCGAAAAACGGTAACGGCAAATGGGTTTGCATTGTGTCCAGAGTGAAAAACTGTCAACGATTTTATGGGCAAGCAATAAAATTAGAGATAATCGACGAACCGAAGCCACACGAGAACAGGCAAACAAATGCGCAGATGAATCACCAGGCAGGAAGTCACGCCGGTGGAGTGAACAAAGAGAGGGGTCATAAGGGTTGCACCACGGCAAAATTGGCACGGGAAGAAAAATGAAAATAAGGATGTACTGCGACAGGGAAGCGCGGAGGCGTGTAAGTGTGTGCTGATGAGGGCTACGCACATCACTACGATGGTCTTGATCCGCCTGTGAACCCATAAGTGATAAGCAAAGGCCAGCACTTGGCAAGCGCATTAGAAGTAAACTAATGTACCTCACAGACACGTTTCGGTAACGTGACCAGCTCCAGTCGGGTGCTAGCTACGGATACTGCGAAGTCTCCCGCGCCTACGCAGTCGCGAACGGAAACCTTTGGCTTACAGGGCAGACGCTGCTTCCCTTCGGATACATATACGGATAACCTGATGCCATCAAGCATAAGGAGATCCATGAGTAAATATTTTTAGCAACATCTCGGAACTTACTGCAAAATAAAGTCACTTGTGTAAATTTCAATCTACCTGACATAAGCTGGTCTAGTTTAGTACTAATCGGGGATCCCGCAAACGTTATGACTTTTTATGACTGAAGGATGGAGTTAAGATATCCTTGAAACTATAATGAGTATAAGAGTGCTGGACCTAGTTTCAACTCTAGACTCTAGTTCCATTGCCTCTTATGTACAACAGCATCTCTCGGGACGCGACTAAGAAATAGTCGATTGCAAAAGAGAGGTCGAGGCCTCATAGGTGTATTCAAAAATACAATCCTTCCTCCCGCAAAATGTAAACTGGAACATATTTTCTACTGTATCTCGGTCTTCGAGTTGGAACCAATTTTTCCTTTCCCATGACCTACAGGATGTAGTTGTCCTGTTTTACCACAACATGCACTACTGTTTGCAAGTATTGACTCACAGCAAAAGGAAACCTTGTGCAAGACATTCGGCTAGCCACACTGCCGCTGTTAAGTATAAAGAAAATAATGCGCACACTAGGTTGTACACGTGAAAAAACTCGTGATTTCAGCGTGCTATTGTGTCTCCTAAGACCTGTAGTTGAAACGGAGGTCAAGAAAGCTACGCAATTTAGGCGAGAAAAGCAACACATTTTACATAGCAAAAACAAAGTTGATGAGCTAATTATCTTAATGAAAAAGAGAAAAGGGCGACAAACAGACCTACGCTCACATATATCACACCGGATGACAGTAGTATCGACACGCCTACTGCATTGGCAGATACTTTTAGTGCATACTTTGCTGAATCTATCAGCACTGAAAATGCGAAACTTATACCTCTAGTCTCACCTGTCATCCTCGAGACTGTTTCAGTTGTGTTGACTGCAACACCGAAATCATTCAACGCAAGATTAACTAGCTTCAGCCATCTTATAACCCTGGTCCAGGTGGTAACCATTCAGCGGTAATCAAGTGTGATGGTGATGAGAAACCAGTACCGTTACTGAACATTTGTCCCTGTCCTTACCGTCAGGTCAATATTCTAAGAGATGGAAGAAACATGGTGTCATAGCTCGATATGAATTTGGGTCAAAAACAGATATTCGTAATAATCGCCCCATCATGATTGATGGAGAGAATCGTAAAAGAAAAGCTTACATTTTCCCTCTTACCGCGCAGTTCTTTTACGCCTTCGCAACAAGGCTTTTTAAAGTCTAGTTCGTGCATTACTTGTCAATTTGATTTCATAAATAATCCAACCGGAGCGATTGATTCTGGACTTCCATGCAGTCATCGTTCTTGACATCTAAAAACCATTCAATCGAGTCCCGCATAAAACATTAGTATTAAAATAGTAGTTTTGGTATATCAAATCCACTACCGTCGTGGTTCAGGTCCTATCGGACAGGGCGTTCTCAGAGAGTGAACATAAAGATGTTCATGTCTACGACCGATAAAGTTAGATGTGGCATAGTTTAAGGCAGCGTTTTAGGTCCTCTTCCCTTCTTATGATACATAAACGATCATAAGATTGTTCTACTCATCCCAATATATAAAAGAGGTAGCAAATAATAAATGTGACCAACAAACCATTGAGAATTTGGCTTCAAAGTGACAGATCCACTTCTCCACATCAAAATGTAATATAGTGACTTTTGGATGCCATATATAAGCAGGATTATTTCTACTTCATGGTGATCCCATAATAGTTTGAGTTTCCGTCAGAAATATAGGACTGAGGTATTCCAGCTACCTAAATTTCGGCAAACACGCGAACTATGTTGTTACTAAAGCAATTACAGTAATGGGACATATTAATCAGTTACTAACGTTGAAAGAGACAAAACTTAAGGCATAGAAAACCAATATAGGGTCGTTGTTAGAATACTACCGCATTATGTTCAGCAATATGCGTTCATGTGACTTGAAGGCCTTGAAAATGCTCAACGCGCCTATGCAAAACGCATCCTTGGTTACTCCATACTTGTTCCTTATAAAGATAGATGTAATGAATTAAAACTTGAGCCTTTATGGCCGCATAGATCACATCTAAATCTTGGTTTCCTACACAGATGAGCCGACTGCGAATAGCGCCCGCCGGACGGCTTTTTTCGCTCTATTTGACAGCCCAGTTTGCATCGTTCACTACTTTGTGCAGAGCAGTTTTTTGGGGTTTATTTTTGTTAAATTCAGTTTCTTTTGTGATTCGGAATTTGGTTACTGCATATTAGTTTCGCATCCGTATATTCTACTCCGGTACTTTTATCGTGTATTCTTATTGTTCACTTTACCAGCTTGACATCTGCCAAGCTATCAGTAATGACAAAGCTGACTTCCTGTGGCATGAAGCTAATGCTGTTACATGCTTCATGTATTATGTGAATTTCCAAATTTCGTGTATTGGTTTGTCTTTAGATGATTTCAAACTACTGCGTGAAATCCAGCATGACTTTGTTCAAATATTGTGCAGGAAATGCCACGCCACTGTGCAGTCACAAACAGCCGAGAAGCCGCGCGAGGCTACAAAACGTGCGAAACGTTCCGGAGGCAGGAGCTCCGTGGGTTCATCCGATCAAGCGGAAACCAAGCCACCTCTATGTTCGAACGAGCCCACCTGCCCACCGGATGTAGACTCTCCAGCACGATATCCACCCGTTGCTGGAGACTCAGCTGACATGCCCGAGTTGCATCCTACGGACACTAAGATACCGGTGTGCGATAGCTCAAGCGTTGAAGGCCAATGGAGAATGCAGCGAAGTAAAACGGAGAAGACAACTGCCAGCAATCAGCAACGTTGTAACCTTATGATATTTCTCGCGTCTGAGTCGACAGATGCTAGTCTTCAGGTTCGTTATGACCACGGGGTGGATGTTCTGCAAAGCCTAATTGATAAGCATATCGACGTGAATGAACAGGGGTTGTGGGTGAAGCAAATCACCCGTCTTGGAAAGAGACAGAGAGGGAAGTCCCGGTCTCCGCGGGTCACGTTGGTTGATGCAACGAGTCAGAGACTCATACTATCCCGCCTCGGTAGGCTAAGAGGTCTAGAGATCCACATTCGTCCCGATTTGAATCCAGCGGACAGACAGAAACTGAAGTCCTCTATCGTGTAGTTGAAGCGGCGGACTGATAGTGACGAAAACAATCAATACATCGTAAATTTTCGGGAAGTTCCTCGGGTCTGCCGAACCTGAAGCAACAGATCGATGACGCTTCATGCGCGCCTGCCGGTTCCTATCGCGGCCTGCGATTAGCCTTCATAAATGTTTCTAGTTTAATGCGCAAACGTGACGATGTATTTCATTTCGTTGCCTCACGTCGTCCGGCCGTACTAGGACTGGCCGAAAACTGGCTAAATCCTGAGGTCACTACCCAGAAAATCCAGTTCAGTGGCTACTCGTGCTTCCGGTGCGACAGACTATCAAACGACCCAAGTGACATGTGGTTATACATTCGGTCCTCGCTGTGCGGGAAACTGGTACACACCTACAGTAGCGAAGATGGTTTGTGCGAACAGTAATGGTGCTCGATCGCATGAGACAGGATGAACTGTTTGTAGGTGCTGTTTATTGCAGCTCGCGAAATCGATGCCTGGATTAGTAGCTGCATGCCAGAAATTACATGAGTCGGCCCCGCTTCCTGCTTATGGGTGATTTTAACTTCCCTCGAATACGGTGATCTGAGATTCAACGTCTCCCCTGGGTACTATAAAATCGAGGCGCAGTTTGCGCAGATGGTATGTGAAACTGGGGCAGCACAACATGTCCGCAAACCGAAGCGCGTTACACCGCATTTAGCTACATTATGCCTGGACCTATTACTAACAAGTTGCGAGCAACGTGTAGATGAAATCCAGGTCCAGGAGCCTCTGGCAGCTAGTGACAACTCGATCGTGTAAGCCATCCTAGAGCTGCCGCTGCCCTACTCGCGTTTGCCACAGTCGTCCTACAATTATTGGAAGACCGACTTAAATGGTGTAAATCGAGCCGCCAGTGAAGTAGACTGGTCGCTGCCGCAGGATTCATCTGTTGAAACCTGGTGGTCTGTTATAAAAGAGGGTGTGCAATCGTTGTGCGCTCGTTTCGTACCCCCCAAGTATCGGAAAGCTGGACCAGTGAAGTCACATTGGTTCAATGGTCACATTGGTCAATGGGCTCGAGGACGACCCGGATTGTAGAATGAATTCCTCGTCTCTGGCTCTGCAGACGATTATGAAGCGTACAAAAGGCTGCGGAATTTATGCAACAGCGCAAAAGCATCGGCAGTTCGAAGAGGAGCTTGCAACCTCAGCGTAGATGGTCCCCAGGAAGATTTTTGCTTAGGTGAAGCGGCGCCTGAGGCCCGCAAGTGCCGTAGCACTGAACGTGCATCCGCATTGACGGAGCACTCAGCTTCCGTAGATACTAGTAGGCATGAGCCTAGGCCAAGCTCGACGTGTGCAGCCCCTACTGAACTCGAGGATCTTGATTGTGGTGAAGAAGATCTCCGCAGTCTACTTGCTAGTCTTGATGGTACAAAACCTGCCAGACGCGATGGACGTCACCCGTTAATTTTGAAACCCTTATCAGTCGTGACGGATCTGTTCAACAGATCGTTGTCCGAGGGTGCGGTTCCGAGCAACTAGAAATGCTCGGTAGTGAAGTCGATTCCAAAAGGTGGTGACCTAAGCAATGTGGACAATTACCGGCCGATTTGGCTCACCTTTGTTTTGGTGAAGGTGCTCGAGAAGATCATGAAAAATGGTCTTCTCCAGCTGCTGGAGTCGAAAGATATCCTAACGCAGGCACAGCACGGCTTCATGAAGGGCCGCTCGTGTATCACCAACCTGCTGTTGACGCGGCAGGAATGGTTGCAAGCGTTGAATCAGGGGAAGTCAGTGGATGTTATCTGCATTAATTTCAGTAAAGCTTTCGATAAAACGAACCATGAGGTCTTGCACCACATGCTGAGGATGTGCAGCGTTGGTGGCGCACTGCGCTAGTAGATCAGTGACTTCCTTATTGGGAGAAGATGGCGGGTTCAGGTGGGGGACCATTTAACGGAATGGTACACGTTCACTAGCGGCCTACCCCAGCGCACAGTACTGGCGCCCATTTTATTCCAGATCCACAGCAACGAAGTACCTCAGCTTCTTCAGTCGTCTTGCGTAGTATTTGCGGAAGACCTGAAGATTTGGTGGATTATTGATTCCCCTGGCGACTGTGACGTTCTTCAGCAGGACCTCGACCGCCTGTCCCTGTGGACAGCAGAAGTTGACCAACTGGTCAACCCGGCCAAGTCTTCGTTTATAAGCCTGGTGAGGGGTAATAATGGGCGTGCGTACCCCCTGGCAGGCCACCCGCTGCATCTCACCAGTTCGGTAAAGGATCTAGGCGTATACGCACGGTTTGATCTGAAGTCTGTCGACAACACGAACAGACTGTATGCAAACGGATTACGCCTGTCTTGGGCACTTAGACGCAGCTTCTGCAATTGGTCTGGAGAGATTGTCACCCGTCTGTTCTCTTCCATGGTAAGACGGATGCTTGAGTACAGCTCACACGCCTATTGCCCAATCACAATAGGTGAGGTGCAGAGACTGGAACGAGTCCAGCATGTAGCTACCCGGTTCATCCCAAGTTTACGGGGTGTCGTACGAGGACCGATGTAGGAGACTAAGGCTTTATACCCTGTCATACCTTCGGCTTCGAGTTGATCTCATTCGGACGCACCGGATACTGCACCTGGGCCATTTCCCTATGTTGAAGCCGCTGCTGCACGTTCGCGCACCAAGCAACACACGCGGACAGCGGTACAAACTAGTGGTACCGGATTTAAAGCACATCGTTCACCCTCTATGCTTCGAGCGTCAAGTGGTGTAATATTGGAACAAACTGCCGGGGACGCTAGTCGAGACGAAATCGATGTCGGAATTTAAGAGATTCCTTGACGTCCACTTTGAAGACTACAGGTATAGGGAGCGTATCGCACCCGGATAAGATGTGGTGTAGCTGCAATATGCTACCATCGTGCAGGAATCAGCGACGTAATTCCGCGCATGTGCCCGATCGACCTAAGAAAGAACAACACATTTTTGTGGAGGGTTTCGGTGTGGCTCTCTCCTATCACTGCACTCCACGACCGACGGTTTCGTCTTGATTTAGACTCTTTGATTTAGACTCTTGATTTAGACCCGAAACTCTACTTCTAACCGCTGTGTCAAACACTGCTCGCGGAACTCAATGGCCTAGTGATCATGGCGATAGCCGCCAAGCACTATTCCTCGGGTTCCACTCCTAGCTCAGCTATCTCTACCTGATGAGTCTAAATCAAGACGAAACCGTCGGTCGTGGAGTGCAGGGATAGGAGAGAGCCACACCGAAACCCTCCACTTCGGTGACGGTCCCAGTGACCGTTTTGGCAGAGGCTGACTTCCAAGTCAACCGCTGCCACTAATGAGATTGCGTGTCGCAATCCAAGACACACGGCGGGTGCTCCAAAAAACCCGAAACACATTTTTGTGTTTTTGCTCTCCATTCTCAGTATTCAGTATTCAATACAGTAGTGTGGCATAACGTGCATAGTGAACATTGCTCTATGCAATTTCGGTTAGAAACCAGATATGAAATACGCGACACCGAATGTGTGATTATAGTACCTCCATTCAAGATCACAGTCAGATAAAAGTTTCATTCTGTAAGGTTCAGTCTGATATGGAATAGCTTACCTAGTTGTATACGATGTATAAAAAGCTTAAGCGACTGAAACAAAGTGATTAATGGTTTTCTTAGCACTGTTTCATATAAATGATGACAGATTGTTTGAAAAAGGACAGGGCTATATTTGAAAACACAAACACGGGAGTCATTTGTCGAAGGTTATTAGTCTATCTGTGTTTTATATCAAATATCACTCGAAACCTACTCTAAGTTAAGTTTCCGTACTCATCCGCACATCAATTATTTCTTTTTCATGTCTCCACCGAGTGGTCGATAACGGATAGTTCCATCGCGATTGATTGTCTGGAATTAATGAATTAACCTTCCTTCCATTCTGATGGCTTCGATTGGTCGTCTTTTGCGAGTAAACACCCATAACTGCAGTGATACTACAAACTGTATTTGGATTATCTTAACTGCTCTTTATTCTCTACAAAACCCTGGCCAAAGTGGAAGGACGCTTTTTCTGGATATCTCTGTACCATCGTCGTTATTCACCAAGATTACCCATCAGTTTGTGATTGGCCTATCTGCAAAACATTGTAATTAATATTACGTCTAAAATTCCTCGTACCTTAAATTCTTTCTTATTTCATTGTTAGCCACGAAAATGGGCCGACGATCTCTTGAGATGACAGATTACAGCTTACAAGAAAGGCATACTCTACCACTGAGTCACTAGCGCATCACAAAAAAGTGCTATACTCGAATGATCCGCATGACGGAACGGGCTGAGGCTTCATTGCTCATAATGCATGCATAAAAACAGCCTAGATAAAAAAAATTTGTGTAACAGGTGATGACTTACCTGCGAATTAGCAACACCGGCACACAGCCAGTTAGAACATGGAAGTGCTGGTGAAACCCATCGAAGGAATACCCTGCATGGAAATAAGTCTCGTGGGGACAGTTCCATAGATGGCCGTATTACTTTATCTGAACTTTTGATTACATCTATATTGGTTAGTATTCCAAGTTTATTAATCTAATACATTCAAACTGTCAATCACTACAAGAACTCGTTTGTGATCCGTTGTATCAAACGTGAACAATTAACTATCTTATGCAATCTTGTCGTACAAATTGATCAAAGCATCGAGAAATATACCATTTATTTATGAAATTATATACTCGCCCGACGTCATGTTTGCCAGGTGAGTTCGTTGTAACAGCGAATACTGAAAAATAAAATGCGTTGCATTAAGAACATGCTACCTAGGTAACGCAACCGCCGACCGGGGAGGAGGTTCGTTTGCCTGCCGGACGATTAAAGGAGCAAGCTTCGAGGTGGATGAAGCTTGACTTGGCGACCGGAAATGAAATCGCCGACACTGATTGTCCGTCTCGTCTTCCAGAGTGAAGTCCAAGCGACAAACCTTATAACTGGGTGGAGATGTTAGAGATGACGCGCAGCCAGCATACGTGTTAGGTCGTCTCATTCGGTTAAAGCTTTTATGTTACTGAGTTCCTTGCGGGGATAAGTTTGATTAAGATGTATGGCAGTAAAAACCGTAGGAAATCAGTCAAGCCGATGCCATCTATTTTTCTCACGATATCTATGACGATTTGCGGGCAACACCGCAGAGTTTCTGTCTCAAAGATGCAACCTAAGCTTTAATGGCTGCGGTGGCTTGCAGTAGTCTTAATCCAGAACGTTTAGTTAGAGCAATTGGGTTGCTGATGGTGATGATATTGCGATGTGATTGCTCACCCAAGTAAGAAGCCAAATGACAGCAAGCGTTGAGTATGAGAAGACGATGATGGTGGCTTCCTGAGTAGTGACGAGAAAAGGATGCATCGTTGGTCGAGATTCCATGCACATGGTTTGAAGTGGGCTGCGTTGGGTTGGAGAAGAGGTTTAGAAGCAATTGCGTCAACCGATCTCGTACACCGGAATCCGGATGAAGACAGATGGCCTGGGTCAACAGAGGCAAATTAGCCTGCAAAACAGAAGGAACTTGATTCAACAAAGGTAAGAGAGACCGATGCAATAAGACCGTAAGGACTAGCCAAAAATACCGGAACCGTACTTACGTTCAGTCAGTGTGATAAAAATCGGTCAGAATCAAGGCGAAATAAAGGAATGCGCCTGTAAGTTTCAAGATCATTCGATGGGGAAAATAGAGGATATTAGGAGATCATATACGTCCGAGTCAATTAATTTTAAAAAATGGCTAGCTGTAGGTTATACATATGAGGTTCGTTTGTTGGAGTTTGGCGTAGACTGTTTACTGCTGGCAAAAGCCAGCGTAACTGACACCGTGTTAGTTGACCTGCAAATGCATTCAATGTTCATGACGAATATGATACACTGGGTTGTGAAGTAAGGGATTTTGGACCACGTGACACAACGCCACTGGCACCACAAAGAAAGTAAGATCTGCAGTCGTTAAGAACTGACCTTGGTAACCTTAAACTCTGAGTCCAAAAATACATACCGTTCACAATGTGTTCGAACAACACGTGAATGCTGCTCCCTAACATAGGCAAGACAAGAAACAGCGGCAGCACTACTGGAGATTTTCAGAATCGGAATTGAGGTGTCACTTCTTACGTAAGCCAGCGTGGAAGCAATTAAGTAACAGTGCTCTTCAAAGACACAATAAACTCGATAGATTATCATTCGGTAGAATCTAAGCCAAGGTAGCTAAGTGGTTTTAAGTTTGTAATCGCTCGAAATATTTTCACGTACATCGGCGAGTAGCAGGCCAAGTTTCTTCCACTTTGGTGGTCGTCATGATCAGATACGACGAGCAGCTATGTGTTATTAATATACATAGGATACAATTGGTTCCCATAGGAAACCTAGACTGCTACGTCTCATACACACTACTACATGCAGTAGAGACAAGAATGTACCTTTGATGAAACGACCTTTGAAAAATAATCAAACGCTGTAACACCGCAATAGACAGTAGTCATGGCAATTTAACCTGAGCGCCCTTTAGCATATTTTTGTTTTCACTAACAATAGCATGTCAGCCCAATGTGGACAACTCATATGAAATACATTAATTTATGCTTTAACTAGCGTTATCGTGTGGAAACGATCCATTTTAGATGAGACAGATTCACATCACTATTGTCATAATGAATTCTAAGAGAAACAAAAGGGGATCGAATGTGTGCAAGATGGCTAGCCGTATCACCTGACATTTAACGTGTGAAATAAAGGCCGAACTAACAGAACTAAACAGTTTATACGCTAAGGCTGTCGTGATCCATTGAATCTGTTGACGTGAATGTGTTACAGTTTCGGCAACCGAAGCGATGCCGTGGATGTGAAGATGAGAAGCTCTATGGGTGAGCATAGCTTCAGCGCATGGAGTGCACATCCATTATCACGCATGAACAGCACTGAAAACATCCTGCCTGATCAAAGTAAAGTCTAGAAAGGGACTAAAAAAGCTGATGTCAGACAGTGCGAATGGTTATGATACGTTACCACTAGGAGTTTTACGGTAGTGCGCTGACTGAGTCAAGTCGTCTCTGACTGATAGTTCCAAGACGTTGCACAAAATTGGAGTGATTTTCAGTCGCGGAAATATACCGGAATAATTCCAGTGCAAAGTCGCACAACCATCGTCCGACTGTATATACATCTGCGATGTCAAAATTGTTAGAAAAAATCGACTAGTCCTGCAGATTTTCACAGCCACTCCAACTGATGATATCTTTAAGTTAGCCTATAAAACAGCGTTCGCATTGGATAACGTAGCAAATCGTCTTCCTGTTAAAGCGTCTTAGGAAAATCGAAAATGCAAATCCAGAGCTTCTCTTCCATAGTAAAAATGCTTTCGGAAGTCTAGATAAATGTACCTCGCGCAATCTGATTTTGTAACAGATTTCATTCAACCTGTCAAGTGAGAGGTAAAAAGTCCACCATGCTCCGAATCAGCTGTAACCCACTGCAGGAAATCATCAAGTTGTGGAGTGCAGTGATGGGGGAGAGAACAACATCGAAACGCTCCGCTTCAGTCACGGTCCCAGTGATCGGAATGGCATAGTCTGACTTCAGAATCAGTCAGGTCAGAATTGAGATTGTGTGCTGCAATCCAAGACACACGCCGGGTGCTCTAGAAGCCGATAATAAACTTCTGACTGCTGTGTCAAGCGCTGCTCGCGAAGCTCAATGGCCTGGTAACCATGGCGATAGCCGCCAACCACTATGTGCTGAGTTCCACACCCGACTCAGGCCATCTCTACCTGATTAGATCAAAACAGGACGAAACGCGTTGTGGAGTGCGGTGATTGGAGACAGCAACACAGAAAGCAGCGTCGCAGGTTTAGTATTTTATTCATTCGTCAATTGCCTCCCTATGCCATACGTACTGTAATAGAGGAGCGATTTGTTAGTTAAATTATCATAAGCGCAGTCCCCGCTTCCGTTTCAGAGCCGCATTGCTGCAGAAGAACAAGAAGACGGAGAAGAATGTTAACCGTAAAGTTCTTTCCATTTACGTTATATTTAGTCTCTATAGTGGCAAAGCGTTGTTTGACACAAGTTCCTGCCTGATCTTTAGAGATCTCGCATTGCTTACCAGATGAAACATGCCTACAATGTCATAAGCAGTGTCTCTACTCGTTGAGGAGTTGCTGTAGGCTCAACAAGAATCAAATTAGCAAGTAAGATGATGGTAGGCTACAAGTTCCCGGATGCAATGCCATGCTATTTTCTTACTACGTTCCGATAGCTTGTGGTGAATCATAAACACATCCGGTACCTAAACTATGAGCGACAATATGGCACCTGAATTACCCATTGTGAAACAAATCGGTATCTTCTTCATGCAGTCATTTCTCTTCAGAAATTTTAACAGAGCAAGGACGAACAACATGTTTACGGGATAACTTGAATTCAGATTATTTCGTGTCTTCTCATTCCGCCACTTAGAGAAAATCGTGGAGACAGTAAAGAAATGCCACTGAAAAGGAGACCAATAAAGAAATAAATAAAACACTGAGAAAATCAAGATCATCACCTACGTCTTATTAGAGCAAGGCAAGACTTGCCACAAGGTTGAGCTGTTTGCAAAGGCTAGGTTTCATTTGTCGAATGGCAGAGGCTTCAGTAAAACGAAGCAAACTCGGGTTGTTTTGTCTGCTGATAACCTTGAATGCGTCACGTGGTTTATCGCACAAGGTGTAATCGAGTAGATGCTGAGTGATTGAGCTGGCAGGAAGTTTAGGGCCACTAGTTGGGAAGTTTCGTGGTACATGTTTCATGATCCTAGTTGATAGCCTCTTCTCGGTTTGACCAATGTAGGTGCTACCGCAAGTACAGGTAAATTGGTAAACATACGAGGCGGTGTTTTTGACCAAAAAAGGCATCAACAGTACCCCAGTACGTGGTATCAATGCTTAGTTGCAACGCAACCACCATCAATCGTATGTGGGAAAGGATGCTGCGGGGGTCACCCGGTCTCTACGCAGTCCCGTACGCGCGCCCTCAGATTACAAGGCAGACTAGTGATCCTTAAGACTAAGGGCTGGCGAAACCCATCTCGATCCACGTATGTTTCTGAAACCTTTCAGAAAGTCAAAAGATTATCTCAGACTTTAGTAGCATATTACTTAATAACTGGGTTTGTAAGAACATGCATTTCCTCCCACTACCATCTACCATGAATTATTTCAGAAGGATTAGCTGGAAGGGTTTCAGTGTTACAATCGCCAACACTGCATTCCAAGACCGACGATTTCGTCCTCGTTTGGACTCGTCAGGTAGAGATACAGTGAGCTGAGAGTGGAACCAGTGGCCACTGCAAACAGCGCCTGACACAGCGGTTAGAATCTGATTACAGGGCTTTGGAGTGCCCGCCGAAATCCATATATACGGTGGGCACAACAAAACGCAACAAGGAATCGCATCTAGATGTTGCGACCACTAGAACTTATTTCGAGATGCATACAGCAGCATACCTATAGGATCCCTCGTCGAGTTCACTGTTATTAATAATCTTGATACGTGTATAAACTGTCCTTCCAATGAGGCTGGACCTTACCGTGGTGCAATGGTTTGCGTGCTTCAGAGATCCACTGATCTATGCTGGGTGGAACTTTTTTGCAGCTTCAGAGCCACTTATACCAGATTGGTCAATGGTTAGAAACCAGACAAACTCAGCCTCCTGGTCCTCCAAGTTGCGGGTTGGAATGAGGGTGGCACCTTATTCCTTAAAACAAACTCCTTGTAGCTCAACGCCAAATCCGTTGCCTTGCGGTCAGGTTTTTGAACCAAAGCCTTTCGTTGAGAATCCTAATCGTCCTCCTGCCTAGGCCTGGTCAATCTGACAGTATCCAGCCCACGCAACACAATGAATTTCTCTTCAAACAGTTTCTTGATGCTCTGGCCACCGCAGAGGATAATCAACGGTGCCCTATCTGCTGCATCGAGCAGGGTGGATAGGGGTGTGGATGTTACTGCTCAAGCCTTCTCCTCTTCTTATTCCGCTCTTACGCTTTTTCACTCTTACCGTCGCATTCCAGCTTCACTTTTATCCCCCCCTGTTTCCAACCCACCAATTCTTGGCCCTCCTCCACCTAGCTTTGATAGACATTATCCTTTTAGTTTCAACTCACATGCGAACGCGGAGCGTCATTCCTGCCTTGTCGATAAGCCCAAGTCCAAGCAAGCGGCCAAGCCCAGTTCATCGGCTTCCATTTGGAGCCCTCCATCATCCTTCAGATTTGTATGCCGCAATGTACGCACATTACTTCAGATCGATCCCAGGCAGCACTTGCCCGAACATTAGAGACCCTCTCGATCGATATCTGCTGCTTATCGGAGACTGGCCTGCAAGACTCGAGCTCTGTGCTCACTCCGCGATCCCCTTCAGGTGACACCAGCATTATTTTCTCATTGCGCCTATCCGGTGACGATGCAACTTCGAGCACCGGACAAGCCAGTGTTGGTATTGCCCCGAGTCCCCGAGCTGAAGCTGCTCTGGTCGACTAGATTCGAATCAGTAGCCGGCTGTGTGCAGTCCGATTGGCTGGCTCGTCCAAAGTTTCGAAGTCGCGCGGGACTAACAGGTGTCTATTCGTCATCGCTACCTATGCACTCACAAACTCTAGTGATGATTCGGTAAAAGACGACTTCTATCGTCAACTGAACGAGCTCCTTTGACACAGAAGTAGCTCAGACACTGTTGTGCTGACTGGGGATCTGAATGCTCAAGTTGGAAAATTATCCACTGATGAACTGCATCTGGGCGGTCAACATGGTGTAGGCTCCCGTAATGATAACGGTGAGCGGTTACTTCATTTGTGTGAAGATGCTCGCTTATTTCTTGCGAGTACTAACTTCCGACACAGCACCCGTCAGAAGGTAACATGGCGCCCACCAGCCTCGAACCAGCCATAGACGCAAATCGATCACATTGCGATAAGTTACCGATGGAGAGGCTGCGTCCAGAACTGTCGCTCGATTTGGAGCACATGTGTGGACACCGACCACGCACTTGTATGTGCTGACCTGCGGATGCGTTTTGGTGGACGCCTACGACAACGTTGTGAGCGCATTGACTCCAGCCAACGGCCGAAAGCAGCTGTTCTGAATGCCTATCAAAGTACGTTGTCATGCGAGTTGTGTAAGCGCTCACTGGATGCAATTGAAGCTCACTGGTCTCATATTCACCAGTCCTTACTAGCAGCAGGAAAATTCTCATGTGGTAAGTCTAATCGCCAACATGAACACTGGGAATCTTTGCAGTCTCTGGAACTTATAGATGCTCGCCGGCATATTTCGGCTGGAAGCGAACACAATGAAACCCGCACGGGCAAAACTCCGTGCTAGACTGAAGAGAGACCGCGAATCCTGGTGGTCTCATTGTGCTTCAGAGATGGAAATGGCCGCTGCACTTGGTAACCATCGTAAGTTATTCCGTCTGATACGGGAAACGGACAGCAGGAGACCTGGTGTCAGTGAAACAATTTGTGACGAGAGTGGACAGCCTATCCACAACTTGTCAAAAGGCTTGGAGCGTTTGGCTTAGCGATTTGAAAGGAAATTTAATCGGTCGGAATTGTTAGATTTCTCGCCGGCCACTGATCGACCCGTTCCCTGGGCTGTCCCTTTGGATCCACCCTCTCGCTCAGAAGTCGAACGTGAGATCGGACTGTTGAAGTTAAATAAAGCCGCGGGACCAGATGATCTCCCTCCAGCCCTCTTCCAATTCGGGGGACCTGCCCTTGTGGAAGATTTATACCAGTTACTAGTGAAATTGTGGGAGCAGGAAACTGTCCCGACCGACTGGAGCAGCTCCGTCATAGTCCCAATTTTCAAGGGTGACTCACGATCGGAATGCGGCAACGATAGAGGAATCAGTCTGATCTCCATCGCCTCCAAATTACTTGCCTCTGTAATCCTTCACTGACTGACTGGAACTCGTGAAAGCCAGATTCGTGAAGAGCAAGCCGGGTGTCGTCGAGGTCGTGTCTGCAATGGCCATATATTCACCTTGCGTCAGTTGTTGGAGCACCGTCACACATATTGGCGGCCCACCGTTGTCGTGTTCCTCGATATCAAAGGTGCATTCGGTTCGGTGGATAGACGTGCACTTTAGGACTGTCTACTCAGGAAAGATGTACCTGAGATATATGCTAAGATTATCCGAGCATTATACGCGTACAGCTCAGGAAGAGTGAGGGCTTGCGGCAAGCTGCTGTCGCTCTAAAGTATCCTCAGCTATGTAAGAAGGATGTCCGCTGTCACTTTTCCTCTTTGATTTCGTTATTGACGAAGTCATGGAAGTCGCGTTCACGGGACACGACTTAGAAGGTGTGGACCTGCTCGAAGCAGAACGACCACTTGAGTTGGAGTATGCAGACGATATAGCTCTAATCTCTGACAGCCAACAAACGTGCCAAGCGGCACTGGACAGATTAGCACTGGCTGTCCGTCACTTCGGGCTTCGCTTCGCATCCTCGAAGTGCAAAGTGCTCCTTCAAGTTTGGCCTGGACCGCCTCCTGCGCTGACCCTTGGTGGGGATCAGCTAGAAGTCGTTCAAAAATTCAACTACCTGGGTAGTTGTATCAGCGCTGCATAAAGGGTTTTAAATCAATCTGGAGTACATACTACATTTCGGAACAAGCGCCCGTGTGAGTAATAGCAGCACGAAGTTTCGGTAACAACCAACAGCAGTGCAAGAAACGGCTTGATGTGGATAGGCTTTCTGAAACAAATTGTATGAGCGACTTTCAGAATGTCTTGGTCTCAAGCCTCAAGAATGCATTGTGCTCAAACACTGAGACGCACATACGTAGGGCCATACAAAACTACGATAAGGGGCTGTGGTTACCTAGATATCATGCTAACCACTGGATCTCCGAAACAGCTCTTTAATAGTTTGAAACTCGTCGAATGATTACCGCTAGCGTTGCTATTCAATCAAACGAAGAATTACCAACGTATAGCTCAAGGAGCTTCTCTGGGAGGATCGCGAGGTCTGGAGGACACAGCGAGTCATCGAGGAATTTAAGTAGTCTTTTTCTCCTGGTCACATCTACTGGCTACAAAGGACTGACGGTAAGCAATCTTTTGTGTCCAAAATAAATGGCGAGCCGATTCACTGATAGCAAGGCAGACTTGAACGTTCAGCGAGCCTAGCTGGCCAGTAGCACCGATGAGTTCCAACTAAGGAATCTGCAGTCCTCCCTGTTACTTGTGAATTTCGTCTCCTAAAGCGGTACAAACCGTCTGACCCAGAGGAAATCAATCCGGCTCTTTTCAAAGATGGAGGCATATCAATAATTCGGGAACTTAAATGAGACGATAGAACTGGATAACCGAAGTACACCCGTCCCATTGAAGCCTAGCGGATATCGTTGCACTATTCAAAATGGATGCCCAAGTAGATGTCGCTAAACATACAGAGAGCGGCCTAAATTGCGTTGCATTCAAAGTTCTTGCGGCGCTGCTTTTCAGAAGGCTCGGTCTAATAAACAAACATAACATATGGGAGAAGCTGGGTACAGCTCAAACCGGAGCTGCATCAACCACATGGTTACGACCCGAGTCTTCAAAGGTTTACCCGACCAACAATAGTTGTCTTTATGGGCATATGAGTCGGATTTTACTCAAATGACAGAGCTGCCCTCTGGAGCTGTCTCTTGAGAAGGGGAGTGCCGGAGAAGCATGCAAACATTCTTCAAGCCATCAATTAACGGACATCAGGAAGAATGCCGGTGGTCGGCTGATTTTCGCACCCTTAAACAGCATCAGTGGCGCGAGACAGGACTACTAAGGATCCCACTTCGTGTTCAATCTCGTTATTGATGATATCATGGACAGTGCTATGGAGAACTGCGAACCCAGCGGCGTTAAGCCGCTTTCGGAGGATGAACCTCGCGATTTGAAGCTTGCCGCAATTCGCGATTCCTAGTGTAGGTTGGACGTGCCTGCTTCCCAGTTAGGGATGACTTTCGGCTCATTGGAGTGGAAGATGTTTCTGTAAAACTACCTAGGAGCTGCTTCTTTAGGCATTCCAGGTTATCATTTGAAAGTGGTAGACAAGCTCGTCCACTTAGGAAGCTGTATAGGTATCAACGGATTAACGGATGAGGTCTCTATATGAGTTTCTAAGGCTCGGGTTGCGTCTGATAATCTCCGCCATCTCTGGCATCGATGCGCCTGAGTTGCTTTCTATAAGAGCACTTTTAAAAGGTTACGGTGAGAGCTGTCTAGTTATTTGGTTGCGCGTTTTGTCAAGATCGCATAAAATATGTTCATAGGGCGCCTTTTTGATTGCCGCTGCTTTCGGAACATTGCTGGTGCATGACAGCAACATAACTTTAGTAATGACAAGTTCGTCAAAGGATTTTTAAATCAGACAAAATCTGTCGTTTGATGAACTGTATAATTTCAATCAACAGATAACAGTCGCTTGGGCACACACTCCGTATGCCACCTCATCATCTGCCTCACCGTGCTATGTTTCAGCGGGCAGAAATCGAGGCTTCCCTACACTACGCTACTGGCTACACACAACGCAACAGTGCACTAATGATGTCACCTCGGTTGCTGACGAAACGTTTGCAACAAATTTGCTAAGCTCAGATAAAAGTTCGCGTGCCACCAAGCAGAGCAGAGACGTCCATACGTATCGGTCTTATTCCTTCGGGTTTACAAAGGATATGAGGTTTGTGGGTGGTGCAGCGAAAGCCACCCATGGTCCCACTGTAGGCGCAGGCGTCCTATGACTGCCCGATGGATGCCTCAGTGACAGGCAAATGCGGACACGGATGTCGTTAAACTAATATATATATATATATAGTCGAGATATATAATATGAAACAAGGTATAATGATGTCCAAAAGAAGACTCACAATCTTCCCTTCGTCAGCCATGGATGGCAAAATGGACTCCAGCCGACTGGACACCAAAACGACAAATTCGTCCAATGATGTAGCCAGATGGAATGCATTGTTATCGGAATTTAGAGAAAATTCACAGTGTGGAAGCATGTCCGTGATGTGTTTTCGGAAACCAGGTGAGGAGAGCCTACATAACGGGAAAACACAAGAACAGGAAAAAACGTTTCAGGTGAACAAGGACTTACAAGGAACAGGTCTGTGAGACAAAAACAGAGGTGAAGGAACAGAAAGCGAAAATCGGAAGAGGCGATGGCCCATGCCCTTTTCAACAGATCCAACTCGTCGGATAAGCTGCTCGTCATAAGTCGATATCAATATTTCCCCTGCCCGTTCAGTTAACCGCTTAGGTTGCCTCAGTTTGCAAATGATATTCGTGTAATTTCATCTACTTAGCCATGTTCTGTGCATATTTATGACGCTAATGCCGTTTGATACGGCGTCCATCTGTCATCCAAGATCACCTTTCGATTGGGTCAATTGTTGACCAGCGATAGAAACCACAACAAGCACGACAAAGTTTAGTGCACAGTGCCAACGAACGTTGAACCAACCAAACCTCGTCCGTCCGTTTGACGCAATTAATGAGGTAACAATAACAGCGCGGGTCAGACAGACAGAGTGGGAGCGGTAGTTCGAACGGTGTAGAAAGTTGCTGTAGTCAATGGTGAAATTTATTGGCTCAGACATGGACAAACGAACGGGTGTGCAGCAAATAAAGCAGACTGGTAACCGAGTTGTTAGAGACCGGCCGGCGTAAACTTCTTCGAGATATATGACTACTAATAAGTAGGACGATTTGTTCAGATCTTTTCTGTCCTCCGAGCCGAACAGTTTTATCGATGAGTCGACAAACCAATCAGTTTGCTTATTACGCACTGAAGTAGTCACCTCGATTTGTGATGAAACGTTTGCAACGAAACTGTTCAGCTCGGAGAACAGAACAAAATCTGATCAGAGCACCCGAGCCACAGGTAGACCGATTTATTGTTAAGTAGGAGGATATTGATGAACTTCAACTGATTCATCAGCAGTTCACAAGCCAAATAGTTGGACTTCAACCGCATGTATGCTAATTTGGAGGATGGTTACACGACAGATCACAAATGAAATGCCACATATCCAAAATGAAAACAACGAGTATGCTGTTCGAGAAATACACTGGCTCTTCTTTGAAACGGGAATTTCCCTTTATAAGTCCAAGAGAAAAAGCAGAAAACGTAAACTGCGATGACTCAATTTCGCGCACGCTCTTCGATCACAAATCATGCAGAAATCATAGATATACAAAATGCGGTCGCATGAGATTAATAGTTTGTTAACCGTTGGCCAACAGTCATGCCTCACACTAAAACGGTAGATTAAGGTTCACAGTCGACTGTTTCTACACAAAAAACAGCAGCCGCTCTCGACCGATGATGATGGCTTCCAGCAGTCAGAGAATGTGGAGCCGCTGGTTGCGCATCAGGACTCATCGGGTTAAAGTCGGTGGCTGGTGCCTTGTGATTGCCGAGGCAGATTGATTTCCAAATTCACCCGATTCCGTTGTCGCCGAACCAATGTAGCTGCGTCCCTACTTAGAAATGTACTCATTGATCCGGAGACCTAAAGTTCCGTTAGTTCACCCGATATAGCTTTCGCCGTAGCTACAGGGGAATTTTTATACGCAATGGGACATACACTGCCTCGTTATCGGTGCCTTGATGGAACACATAAGCAGAGGTATTGTTTGAGTGGTCAATCGTAGTTCAGCTGCAATGTACGCCGAATGCACCAACACCACTAAATGGGTGATTGCGTCATGTCTGATAGTCTCAAATACGGATGTGGACGATCCGGAGGACCTCACCATCGGACAGGACATAAATAAGTCTGAATAAGTGCCGCAGTCAATTTGTTGCGTATCTTAATGCCACGTCATCGAGTGGTCGCGTCGCTGTTTCGACAAAGCTGCCGCAGCTACGGCGTAAAATGAACGCCGAAGAAGCCGGTCAACGGGTATAGGGGGAACATGATCCAGTCAACATAAACCGCTAAGATTTAGGACTCACTGGATTGAGGCACCAGAATGCTTCTTGTCAAAAACTAACTGGCGGACCTCAACATTGCTCATCTGGTACTCCTATCAGACATGAGCAATACTCCGCAAGTAATGTGATTAAACACGGCCAAGTCTTCATTGCGAACTAAACAAGTCTCTGATCCATACATCAATATTAGTCTTTTGACAGCGTTTTATACCCTACATTTCACTGACAGGCTGATATCTCGCCGTCTCCGTAGGTTGAGCCTCTGGAAAGCCACGCGGACCTTGATGATAGGCGAATCAGCTTTCACAGTGATGTGACCACCAGAGATGACATAGTTACGAAAGTTATCGACCTGATTCACAACTTACGGTAGCTGTTTGTTAGCTACAATAAGTGACGCATCGGCCCAGATTTGCAATAAAACTTTGAACTTTGAAGGTGCAAAGCACATGCCGAAACATGCAGCATTACGGTTCAGTTGATCCAGTAGCGTTTGTATAGCCACTGCGTCAGACCCAAGTAGAGCTGTCTTCCGCATGAGCAAGAATTGTCGGTCGGTCACATCGTGGAACTTCCTGTGCGAAAGGATCTCAAAAAGGAGAGTAATTCGTGATCATTTCGATCGAGTTTGAAGAGGATAGGAGATATAGGACAACCCGAAAACCGCACTTGCTGTGGAGAACTCAGAAGCAAGCTACCGCAGAGCATTACCCGAGGTCGGGAATCACAGAAGAGATTAGAATAGAAGGAAGTTATCCAGGTACTCCTTTCATGGATAGCAGATGTCAGAAGCTAGGTTGGTCAACATAGTCAAAGGCAGTTTTCAGGCCACGGAAAACTGTGTGTGGTAGAACACTTCACAGTGAGTAAATATGTGGTCGATGCAACCAGGACCAGGTCAAAAACCAGTCTGACTTTCAATGATTCAGCTCCCACTAGAACAAGTAAGTTATCGAAGAATGATACTCGTGAAAAGTGTGGAGACAATGGAAAGCTAATTTATCGATAATTTTCGTACAAGGTACGCTGACCGTTCTTGAAGATGGGCACGACAGCTGACAGTCGCCGGTCTGAAGGTACCTCTTCAGTGTCCCAAGTAGTGTTGAGAAGAGCAGCATTTCTAGTTAACAAAGAGTTACCTTCATCTCCCAGTAAAGACCGAGAAAGATCGTCGGGTCCATGAGATTTGTTTCCTTTCAACACAGTAAGCTCATGTCGAATTTCTTCTAAACCAAGAAGCGTGACACCAACTTCCTAAGTCGGCTCCGGTGAACTCCAAACTGAGGTGTCGTAACAGGCACGCAGAAATGCTCTTCAAAATGTTCCGACCAACGGGCTAGTTGACGAAGCTGAGAATAGATAAACTGTCCATTTTTTCAGTCACTGTCACTCTAATTGAGGGCTTTCTCGGAAGTATGTTCCGGATAGGTTGGAATAGTAATCAACTGTATCCAGTAGCGATGGCTTACTTTATCACACGAGCTCTTGACACCCACCAACGTTCCAGATCGATTAGAAGGCTTCTTGTCAGTAGTCGTTTAAGGGCGTTACGGACACGGTGAAATTCAATGCCCAATGAGCATACAACAGGCGTCAAAAGCATTCTTAGTGGCACGCTTGGGACTACGCCAGTCATCATTCGATTCACCAACCTCATTCATCACTGACAATTGGTGGGGCAGTTCGTTATGATAATGCAGAAATAAAGACTGAGTTCAAGTTAGAAGTTACGCGATTCTTGGAAGTGGAAAAAGTGAGCACCAGACGTGCGCGCACTAGATCATGGTCGGAATCCAGGCAGGTACTTCAAATTGACCAACAGTCTTGGAATGATGTGTGTCACCTATAAATGTTGGCAATATGGTCAATGTAGGTACAGACTATCGAGGAATTCGGTGGAGACCAAGTGACAAGTTATGAACGTTTGTGCTGAAAAGCAATGATGTTACCATAAAGAGTACGGTCGGCGCATAATTGCTGGAATCAACCACAATTCTCTTTTCGACGAGCATTGATCCCGAAACTGTGTTCTCTGTAATGCTCAGAATCTGAAAGGCGACCCACTTGAATATTTACGTCACCAGCAATAACCATGTTGCCAGCATGTTTCGTCATGCAGAGAAGAGATGAGATTTCATGATAGAAATCGTCTTTGATAACCCATGAACTGCAGTCCGTAGGGGAATAAATGGGACCGGTGAAAAGGCACCTTGACTTCAGACGGTGCTTAATAATGTAAATAGATTCGAAGCCGAACCGCACACATGAGGCTGTTCACTGGCATCCAGTCAAGTAGACCGTTTTCAGTAGGTTTGCTGAGGGTGATACTAACACTATAAATGCCTCGAGCCATTGACTCAGCATCGCCAGAAACGAGAAGAGTGTAGTCCTTGTCAGCAGATTCGGAACCAAAAACTCGAAGATATGTCACAAAGCTGTCAACGTGTGTGCGTGTTTCGGAGACCCAACACATGGCAGTATCAAGAGAGTGAAGAGTGAGAATTAATGCTGACTGCTGACCGATCTAACCCAGAGTGCGGACGATCAAAGAACCAATGTGCAATAGGATCGTGGGTTTCAGGGACAAGCTGCATCGATGGTAGCATCTGCGAGGTCGGCAGCAGTTTCTTGTTTAACAGAAGGGAAGAACATAGTTGAGAGGAAGAAAAACAAGAAGAGGAAGATAGAGTATTGTCGAGGAGGTCGAGAGGACGGTTAATACTCTCCTGCTCCTCATTCCGAGAGAGGGGTTTTATTCGAGATGCTTTAGCACTAGCACACACATGACCGAAAGGATCAAACGCCTGCCTGGTAATCTGACGGTCGCGAGTTCGAGTCTGCGTAGGGGACCGGAAGACCCACATATTATCCTTAGCCGACGCGCAATCGGTGCTGGTTGCGTGGCAGTGAAGCGACGGTACGCAGTAGCGGCGTGCTGTGTATATACTTTGGCCTGCTCTACCTTTGGCTTTTGACTCAAAAGTCTGACCCCAAAGCAATGAAGTATATGGAGGAAATATGGATGGATTTTGAAGCCGCCTTAAGACGATGTGACATGAGCTGATTCGATGAATATTGATTGTTTTGGAGCAGCATGGGCGCTTATAAGAAGCAATGGAGTAGTAAATAGATTCAGACAGCCACCCGGGGTCCGGAAAAGCACTGTAAAGCCGTTTCATCCTTTCGAGAATCATCAGCAGCGTGCATTCCACCTGGGTCCTGGGGTGCTGAAAACTGCAACCCAGCTGTTACCAGTCCGGGGCGAAGACCATTGACCTACTGGGGACGGTAACGATCCCCGTTACTAGATGTGATATGGCGCCGCTCAGTAAAAAAGTTTATCGCAGACAGATACACTCAGAAAACCATCACCACGACACACGTTTCATCATTAACTGAAATCCCACCTCCCTCCATTTAGTAAGTGTATTTTTAAATACTTGAAAATTCAGAGATGGGTGCGGTTGGCCACTGCTCTGGTCCTTAGGCTTTGGTAACCGCATCTTGTTTCGATTGGTTCTCTGTGGTACAACCGCAGAGTATCATAAATTTGTCTAAGATGAAAACTGGCTTGAAGATAAGACCGACAGTGGCATAAGGTTCGTGGATGCGCACAGTAAATAATGTATTGCACCTAAACGTGATATTAGTCAGCGAAAGTATCTACACATGGGTGTTCGACTTCCGAATGGTCCCTCGTCCAATGCATAGCCCTTGTGAAGCCCGGTATAATCTTGATTTTCCCTCAAAACTGGATTGCCGGTTAAAGGACACTGTACCCCTATTCCCTAATCCTTCGCTTAATCCCATAAAGAATGTTGCACATGAATGTTTTGAACATATGCACCAGGAAACATATGAGATTTTTACTTCGCGCCATTAACATTACGTAAAAAATCGTTGACCTTTGAAAGACAGCTGATTACCGAACTGACACGCAGTAACATTTCCGCACGCTACCGCATGATTGTAAGCCTAGATGCAAGATGCCTCTAATATGAATTGCAGAGCCACGGCAACAGAAATTTACGCTTTGTTTCTTTGGCCCCGACGATGCGAAAGATTCACGTTCACTAGTCTACAGTTTTCCCTTCCGCGCAATTCACTTAGTCTAGACTTCGTATCATTGTTACAGCCAACGACAAGGCGTTACTACAAAGACCGGGGAGGGTGCAAAAAAGAAATGGGTTATAGCTGTGTAGGCGAGATGATCGGGATAGTCCGTCCAGTCGAATGAGTTATAACAAATGTGCACAAGTAACATAAAATTTGACCGTTATCACCAGATGGTGCATCACAGAAAGGAAGGCGTAGTGGGTTAAAACTGTACCTTTCATCCGAAGGATGGACGGCCAAGCATTTAGTCGATGATTTCGCTGCTGACATAACGGCGGATTGAACAGACTCAACCTCAGACGAGTCGCTACTAGGAACAGGAGAAGAGGCCAAAGAAGTAGAGGGCTCCTGGGGAGCTGAAGGCGACTTTGACAGCCTTGAATGCTTTTCGTTTTCTCTGAGGACCGGTGGAATTTGTGGATGAACAGGAAAACAGAAACACAGGTGAAGATCTCTAACAGAGCGTTACAAAAGCAAGGATGGAACTCATGAAACTGTCTAAAGATACTTTGTTCACTAATAATGGTTGAATGCGGTAGCGTTTATCCCAACAGAAAAGTGGATTAAAAGTAGGCATGCCAAAACAATGCAAAGTGGTTGTTTGATAAAGGGCTGTGAGGACAAGGACTGAACGGTGCGATGCACTGCACATTTCATATTGATCTAAACAAAACACAGAGGAAACTTAAGGAGGTCTGTTGTTTACCACGGTGTGCACCTCAAGAGGTAACGGGCCAGTCTCACCGTCCTGTGATGCAGGAAAGGACAGAGTTTGTTTTGCAACCCGGACGTCCCCAGTTCGAGCCTGCGTTGGGGACCGGGCGATCCTCGCTGTATGTTTAGCCAATGCGCGACTCGTGGTAACTGCGTAGAATCATAGCGCCAGTACGGTGTACAGGCGTACTGCTGATGCTTCACAGCGTACTTGGTGGTACATGAAATAAACAACATTCAGCCTGCGTGTAGAACGGGCGCAGTAATGTGGACGTGAAACATCGTCAAGAAGAGGCAAGGAGTGCACACATACGCCCACGAATGACAACTAGAGGGGAGTTAAAATGGGATTCGGATCTAGTCTATACGTGAGGCTGACAGCCAAACAAGGCGCATGTACAACACCTCTCGTCATCAGGGATAGTAAGAGGATTCCTGTGAACTCAGTAGCTTAGGTGGACAGCATCGTTTCAGCAACGAAAATGTATGGTCGATGCAGCAGTAATATGCACCGTTATTTCGCTTTGATGCCTTAGCAAGCGGTTGCACTCGAGCTTGGTAAAATGCAAAGTCCAATGCATGGCCCGGTAGTGGTACATCAGAGACATTCCGCGACGACTGAATTGCAAAAGCCCCTAACATGTGTCCACCATGAGTACGAATGATATCCGTGAAACGGGAGTTTTGAATCAAAGTTAGCATTTGGCGTATGTCAAACAGTAAGCATATAGTGTGGGGACGAGAAGGCTGCTTTGTTCTCCGTGCTGGGCATTTCAGTTGCAGACGTTTCGTCACCAAGCTAGGCAACATCATCAGTGCGGCTTTCAACTGGTGAATCGCAGAGTCGAGTGGCTATTCTCGAGTCCTGCTTTGAATGTCAGCTGTCGATTGACTCACGTGGGTCGAGCTAGTGCTCGCTTCTTCGCAAACTTACAAGGCGAAGGACCAACAAAGTAAGGAAGAAACATTTGGGATAATTTAAAAAATTTGCTGTGAGAATTGTGAAGAATACTGTATGGGCCAGACCGGAAGAAAACTCGACACAAGACTTCACGAGCATAGACTGACTATCCGTCGTCATGATGAGAAATCGTTAATGTCAATACATATGGATGCCGAGGACCACCAATTCGATCTGGAAAACGCCAAGATACTTGGAAGAGAAAGGAGTCGAAGAGCGCGTGAGTTCATCGAGCCCCGGCATTCGGGCCGGAACAAAATCAACAAGCCCCAGCAGCCAGAGGGCGTATACGAAGATCTGCAGATCAAGCCCGCAGTAGGCATCAGACTGACAAGGCGAAGAAGCGATCACTTGGTCGACCTACGTGAGTCAATCGATAGCTAACATTTAAAGCAGGACACGATCAATAGACACTCGGATCTATAATTGGTTCACGAGGCTCCGCGATTCAGACCTTGAAAGCCGCACTGATGATGTTGCCTAGCTTGACAACGAAACGTCTGCAACTGAAACGCCCAGCTTAGAGAACCAAGCAACCTTATTCCCATAGTGTGAGGAGACGAGGAGAGCTAGTCGTAATAGAAGTGGGCAGACCATGGTACAGCAGCGCCGCACCATGCGATGGGGAAACAGAGAGGTCAATCGTAGCTAAAATTACGCTCAAGAGGAATTCCACCCCCCTATGGAGACACAGCACAGCTGCATCGCCTCCGTAAATGTAGCTAAATATAGATACAAGCTGGCCAGATAATGTAGCACCAAGTAAGATGTAGCGAGAGTACGAGGGAAAGAATCATAAACGATACAATGCATGACAGAACAAATCGGGAAAAGTCATAATAACCGTGGTAGTACGCAACAGCAGCTGGATCCAGTTGATATGCAGATGCCGGCATATATATATATATATATATATATATATATATATATATATATATATATATATATATATATATATATATATATATATATATATATATATATTGCTCCATGGTCGTGAGAGCTGCTTGTGGTCACTCAGTGGGCATTGGTGGTATGGCCGAACACATCGTGGGAATCGGGAGACGGAAACTAACCCACCTCTTCATCGTGTCACCACGAAACAAACCATATTAGGGGCAAGATTTGCTGGAGGTCAGCAACGCTATCGTCTATTTAAAACGTGAGAAATTGTTCACTGAATGCGGGTCCTTAACACTCATTGGCCGTGGAGAAATGATCTCTTTGCAATCGGTCGTTGTCGCGTTAGTATTGAGCCCGACCTTGCGGTCACTAATCACAAAGTATCACCTTTTGTTTACGGATGACGGCATCCCGTATGGAGCTTGCGGCTGGATCGAGCACATCATCCCGCGAAACCGTCAGACGTATCGGCCCCATGGAGCCCGAATGATACCAATCCATCTGGAGGTTGAAGTGAATAGGCAATTACAGGAGATGCCGGACGCGAGTGTGATTGTGAGGTGCACAGCCCATACAACTCTCCATTGGTCTTGGTGAAGAAGGCGAATGGGAAGTATCGTTTCTGTGTGGATTTCCGAAGGCTGAATAAATTTCTCCCTGAGTCGCATCGTTCCAGTGCCATCAGTTGCTGACATTTTGGTGAGACTGCACAGTCGAGGATATTAACTGTTCTGAATCAGAGATCTGGATAATGCCAAATGGCGATCGAGGAAAAGCGGCTTTTAATGTCTGTGAAAAACAATACCAATTTTAAAGGATGCCTTTTGGATTATTGGGAGCCCCGTTTACCCTCCGACATTTAATGCTTCGCTTATTGAGTGACTTGAAGAACGTGGCGGTGTATAGGGATGCTACTGTGGTGTAGAGCCGATCAGAGGAAAATCACAGCGATCATCTCGAAGCAGTCTAGGAACGGATTCCGCAGTCTGGACCGCATAAATGGACCGAAATCCAAGATTGGAAAGACTTGTGTCAACTTATAAGGCCAAAAAGTGGGATAAGGTGAGCCGAAGCCACTGCCTGAGAAAATATTGACAAGGCACTCCAGTTCCTACCTCAAAGCGCACTCCGAGCGTTCCCGGGCCGTGCTGGGTACTACAGCAAATTTGTCAAGGAATTCAACAATTTGGTCTCACCCTTGCACGTGCTGCTGAAACAGGATAAGAAATTCAGTTGGACTACAGAAGCCCAACAACCCTTTGATCGTATTCTGCAGGAAATGGAAAGGCAGGGGTTGACCCTGAAACTGCCCATTGCTGGAGAGATATTCACGGTGGTAACGGGTTCCACCGACGTCGGAGTCGGCGCGGTTTTGAAACAAAGCCATGAGACGTTTGAGTGCGCCAGCACAACTCTGACACCGGCAGAACGCAAAGACTGAACGATAGAGGTATGTCTTGCAATCGTCTCGTCGTTGGACAAATGGTGGTCACATCTGTTAGGTCAGCGATTTTACGTCGAAACGTGCCACAAGCCTTTGGAAGGAATTAAGTCTGCCAAAGACCCCAGGGGAAAGCTAGCGCGATGGGCGCTGTGCCTACAGGAATACAATTTTACGATAAACCACGTGCCGGGAAAGGAAAAGCAAACTGCGATTTTTGTCACACATGATAAACGAAGATGACCTGCCGAGTGTGTCTTCCGGTGTTAATGGTATACTGTTGGAGCAAGATCCGGGACAGTTGGCAGCTGACCAAGGTAGTAACAAACACTTGCGCAAAATGATCACTGCAGGAATAACCGGTCAATCAGTCCCAAACAAGAGATCGGAAAATGGGATAAATCTTGAAAAGCTAATTAAATGGAGCAGGGATTCTGATGTGGAGACCAAGAGGTAGCAACACTTTAGTGTCGGTTTTTCCGACGAAACTAAGGCGGAGACTGGTGATTTCTTGTCACGAGACGGCGCACACCGGTTGTTCCATGACCTACGATCTGCTGAAACAACGCGCCTATTGGCCGGGCATGAAGAAAGACGTCGAGACATACGTGCTTTCGTGTAAACCATGTCAGCTTTTGAAAACCGACCACCGAGGAGCACAACAACTAGTGATGTCGATTCCGGTATCGGAAATTGGTGAACTATGGTCAATCGACGTGATAGGACCGTTTCCATTAACCAGGCGGGGCAACCAATACATCTTGTTGATGACGGAGCACTTCATGCGCTGGATTGAAGCAACGGGAATACCCAATCAACGGGCAACCACAATTACCTATGCCGTCATTAAACATTTGATAGCGGATCACGGAATCGCAAAGGCCATATTAACAGATCACGGTTCATGATTCGAGAGTGAGGAATACCGGAACTGTTTGGCCAAACTTGGTAACAAGAAAGTGCGGACAACCCCACACCACCAGCAGACGGAACGTAACAATAGAATGATTAAAGTGACTAGCGGCAAAGGCTGAGGACTGGAAGGAAGCTTTGTCACTACTGTTGCTGACCCATGGAGCACCCAGACAAGGTTCCACAAAGCCACTAGTCCAACGGATGTACAGTCGAGCACCTGGCTTACCTATAGAGTTAGAGGTTGTAATGTGGCCAACTTGCCGAATATTTCCAAGAGGCACTGGTTAAAAGGAAGGCAGCCAACCGCAACCTGAAAGCAACTCAGGCGCAGAGGATGGAGAAGTTCAAATACAACAATGGTGAGATGAGTGTTGAGTTTCAGATCAACTCGAAGGTGAAATACAGGTTCTATCAAGGCGCCCCCACTTGTGGCCTAGATGATAGGAAACTTCTCCTGAAGGCG